TAAATAATGTTAATAATAATAATAGCTTGAAAGACATAGTCGGTAAATATAGAAAAATGTTTTATTCTTTATTTCTGCCAAATGCATTAAGGTGACACTAAAAATTCCGTAAATTAATAAAGAAATTAGTTTAGGAATGTTCAACAACGCCCTTTGTGCAAACGGCTCAAAATTGATTTTCATTCCCATAGCTTACTTTCTGTATGTTTTTTGTTCTAAATAAATTAATTTGAAACAAAAATTAAACTTTCATTGTGAGTGAGCTATACATATGTGTTTGGCAAAATGTAGCATATCTCTCAATTCATGAATTAGCTATACCTGGTAAATAACTTTATGAATTTTTAATAATCAGCTAAGTGTTTGTTCTTTTATTCTCAAAACAAGTATTAGCGCAGAGAATTGAAATTTAAACCTTTTTCGGTTTTTTAAGCTTTCTAATTCTTCAACTAATTATTTTTCTATAGTGAACAATTCTTAAATAGCTCGGCCATCAGACTAAAATGATTCGTTTTAACTGACCAACTCGAGCATCATCATTTAATCATTCATTTAGTTTAGATCACCTTTTAACTTTTCTTTACGAGTCTTTCCAGAACCATCAGTCCAGTTCAATTCAAATTTTATAATTCAAACAGCAGCTGTATCTTTTAACAAAAATCTGCTAGAATTAATTAAAAGCAAATCAGAAGTAATCAAAAAGCTGGCCAAAGCTAATAATTGCCAGGTGCGCAAAATTCTTTACGCTTATTTCAACCATTAATCTGCTTAACTTCAAAGTCAATACTAATCCTATTTCACTGATTAAAAATAATCCTAATTGCACAGATAATTGATCATTGCTAACTCTTTCTTTCGTTATAAGCAGCTGTTTTCTTAAAATGAAATAAATAATATAGGAAGAAAAAACGAAAAGCAGTAGGCAGCTTTTGAAGAAATAAGAATTTGAGATACATTCAAAATTTTATTTTAAAATGTCTGCAAAATTTCCATATAATCATAATTCGAGGATTGTGATTTCATAAAAATTCTTGATATTTCTGCATTTTTAAAGACTTAGATGTTTGATTACTAAACTGAAGGAGTTAGATATTTTCATTACGTATCACAATTTTTGTTGCATAAGGAGGCTTGCTCTAATTCAAAGCAGAAGTAAGAAAATAAATTGATGTCGTCAAGGATGTAGCACAAACTTAAACTTAATAATGCTTAAAAGGTTTTGCATTAACGGAAGTAAATATTTGCTAGTCATTAGTTAATCATGCGTTTTCTTGCATTTGAATTCTTTTACAAAAGAAATGAAGTAACTTTGTTACAAGCTTTTGTAATGCTTATTTACAACAAAAAGTAGCGGCTCATTATGTTTTATCCCATAAAAATTTGGTACAGCTGATTATAAACATTTAAATAATAGAAAGATATGAGAAAACAAAGTGACCGGTTGGCAGTTTTATCGGTCCTTTTATTTTATTAATTACGTGTTAAAACTTATCAAATCCGAAACTTTTCTGTCAAATACAATCTGACCAAGGGCAAAGTGTTTAATAACCAGTTACTTTAATTATTTAATTCGTAGAAATATTAATGAAAGAAATTTTTCCTTCAACACCAGCTGCACGGTTCGAAGAATCACGACTATTACTGAATAAGGATCCGTATATTAGTTGAACCAGTTAGTGAGTTAATGTCTTCTAAAGCCAAACATATCAACTCGCCTTAAGAATTTATTGAAAACATGTTCTGTCACGGCACTACATAATATGAAGATGAATGTTATTTCAGTCCTGCCTATCAAATACTGTCAGTTTCTATTATTCTACTTTTGGATTGCATTCAAACTGCAAATGTGAGAGGATGATTATCCATGATAACTCAGAGTTCCCTTAAAGAACAACAGTATCACAATCAACTTTTGTCGCAAAATACGAAGTACACATCGGTTATGATTTTATTTTGAAGTTTTATGAAATCAGTAATATCATTAACTTTTAAACGAATCGTTAACTGATAGAATTTTTGAAGTTTTTAACAATGGTTGAAATTTCGAAAATGGAAGTTACTGCAGTCTTAAGCGAAGCAAGTATGAGTTGTGATAATAAAAAAATCCATTAAGGTAATCACGAAAAATGAAAATAGTCACGCAGTGATTGAAACTGCGTTTGATTGACAGCTGAAACTAATATTGGTAAAAAATGTGGCAAATTCATGAAAGTCGCCGTTGAAATTCAGATTATATTTTTGGAGCGCATGATCTGACTACCACGCAGATTTTTACCCTAAATAAATGATTACCGTATGGCTATTCTAACTCCTTCCTTTTACATTGTCAATGAAATAAGAACCTTAACCGAAGATCAAATAGTTAACGAAATTTAAATCTCATACATCAAAGCCTGTAAATATTATGCTGAATTAAGTTAGAAAAAATAATTACTGATTGATTTGGCGCTTTTGACAACATTCTTTATATTAAGGATACATGTCACATGCAGTCAAAATATAACTTCCTTATGCCTTTTGTAAAAATATAAACACTAGCTTTATTTCCTTTTCAAAGCTTAATTCAATATGGCATAAAAGTTCGAATTTGAATCCATTTTAGTTGAACAAAGCTTGTCTTCCTTCAGTAATATATGGCAACTTCTTTACTTCTGTGGACTGACGTTCCCATCCAAACTGTTTCTTTTTTCAGGATACACAACTACAGATAATTTAATATACAGTTACTGACTAACGACCTTGATGATATTGTATTTCAGATTTTCAGAAAGCATTTTTAGGATCTCTGACCTTAACTGTAAAAAGATTCATTGAGTAGAATTGATTATTCATTAGGATTTGATTGTAGATTTGATTAGAAATTGTGATGTTCGATACAAGTGACACACATTTTCTCATTACTTCACAGTTCTTTTAAATTTTGCTATTCATCATTCTTTTCACTCTCCGATCACAGCGCGTCTACCAAATATTAGCATTCCTCTAAATTAAAATCTAATCTCTCAAGTGCAGACATAACTTTTATGTCCTAACATGCCTCATTCTAATTATAATATATTTGATAATGCATAAAACATCAAACCTACAGCCGTTTGGTTCGATCTGCGCTAATTCTTCCCCTTTTTGCAGTCATAAAATGTTAATTTCATTAAACTATCAAACGTCTTTTCTATATGAAACAAGAATAATGAAGAAATATCAATTATCAACCTTCGTTAATTTTTCTCTTCATTTAAACTGAATATTATCGAAAAACTGAATATTATAGAAATTTCAAAATAATATCAATCAAACCATTTCGGCTGATGTTTTTACGCAATTTATTTTTTAGCCATTTAAAATAATTGAAAATTGCGTATTAAAAATATCAGCCGTTTTAATGAACTGATCATTTGTTTACATAGCAGTAGGGCAGTAATGAGTTTTATAGGCTGGATTCACTTCTGAAAATGGATTATAGTAAATCATACCTAATAACTAATATTTCTACTTCTCAGTCATAAATTCAATCATATATTTTCATTCAACTATTTTTCTAGTTTAATCTTCCAGAGTCATCGGAATTAAGAGTGCATTTGGCTTGTGACCTGAGCATGAAAGAATTTAGCTTCGTGTAATGTTATAACTAGTCATCTTAATCTGATTTGCTTCTCCTTCTCCGCTGTGAAAAATTAAATCGGGTTATCGAAATTCTTGCAATAATTCGCTATTTTCCTTAAAATGTTTATCATGACAGCGATCGATAAAAGAACTGACAGGCGAATGCTAAAGGAAACCAATACTGCTATCCTGAAAGCCGAGAATGAGAAGTTTCAATGATGTGTGCTCTTTGTTGCATCCTAACGTAAAAGGAAGCTGAATGAACAAATTATTAGTTGAATCATCTGCTCTTGTTTTTGATTAACTGTTAGCCATTTGTCAAATAAGAGAAATAACAGATAGGTTTTATGATCCTTAGGTATCAAACGCTTTGTGTGAGCTTCTATTTTAAAAGTATCTCTTGAAAATTAAAAGTTGGGAAATAAAAAGCTTGAAAGTAATTCTGACAAGAAAACAAATAGGTTAATAGTTATTATTTATCCATGATCTCAAGAAACTTTTTGAATTATTAGATACAAACTGGTTTATTTTAACACTTAAGAGAGACAATTGGTCAGATGATGCTATCTGTTTGATTTAAATAACGTCACAATTTGACAAATGGATATGAAATAAAACTGATAGAATAAAATGTACAAAGCTATTAATTAACATTGCTGTAACAAGCAGGATCTTTCAAATACTAATTAAACTAAATATGTGGTGGCTTTCACTTTATAAATGTAAGGAATTTTATCAAAAATTCTCTCAATTTTTGTTTTTTCTTTTTCTTCTTCCAAAGTGTCCAGTAAAATTCAATTTATGCTTTTGATATGGCCAAGCCGTCCTCTAAATAGTTTTATTGTTCCATTATGGGAAATACTGCATTGATTCTGAAGGGTTGGTTACCCATACCTTATTACACAATCAAAGTATTAAGTGCATGATTTGAGTTAAGCATGATAATTTGCTTATATATTTATTTCATTAATTCACTCATAATTTTTGAAATTTCACGTAAAGTTATTTCTCCTGTTTCTTTCATTCCTTCTTGTTGAAACACATTCGGAGCCATACAGCATTTCCTTCCCTTTTTTCATTCGTGATTCCTATTTCATTTGCATATTCTGGTAACGCTAACTACAAACTTTTTTTTCCATTTTAGCAAATGTGTTAATGCTTCATCATCAACAGATATTAGAGAATACTGTATGCGATCATACCATCGACATGTCGACGAAATCTCCAATTGCGATTAATGTTGAACAGTCAACTAGTGATGTGGAACCAATTAATGTTCCGGAAATTGGAGGTGATGCAAGTCCCAATGATTCTCTTTCTACCTTGATTACCGAAAATTTTGGCCAAGCATTGACTGATGCTAAAATGAAACGAACAAACTTTCAAAGTAGTTCTTTCATTGGTGCTGCCGATCCGGTGATGGAATCATCCAAATTACTCAGAAAACTTTCCGAAGCGTTCGGTATGTCCATTTTTCTTTGGTGTGCTTAAGTTACTTATATTTTAGAAAGTATTTCGAGATCCCATTATGTTTTATAGCTAATGTATGTCCATAGAAGTGGTTCAAGTGATCTACGATTCCAGTTATCTAGAAATAACTTGTTTCAGGAGCAGAAAATTCATTTTTTCGTAGAAAGTGATTTCTCAAATTAAGTTGCTTGGGTGTTGGCTTTTCTACCAAAAAATTCACCTTTTTAGATATAAGAAAACAAATATCCATTGGTATTTTTGCCACTATTTTCTCATTGATCCAAAAAATGCTTAGCAAAGCTTCACTATTTTACAAGTTTAGCTAACTTGAAAGGATGATGAAGGAAATGTACAGTTTATGCAAATTATTTTCTTTATAACCAGTATTATTGGAAACATGTTCTTCCCCAATGAAGTGATAGTGACACAATGTCACATAATGAATATGCACATGTAGTACAACTGACATACGTGGCAAAAGTCGTTTTGATTTTTGAGAATTTTTCTGCAAAGCAGAGGAGCAGTAGTGGTTAAGGTAGAATTTCGAATAATTAATAGTAATAATAATAATAATAATAATAATAATAATAATAATAATAATAATAATAATAATAATAATAATAGTTAATAATAATAATAATAATAAATAATAAATAATAATAATAAATAATAAATAATGAATAAAAAAATAATAAATAATAATAATAGGAATAATAGTAATAGTAATAGTTAAGGAGCAGAGTGAGATTAGCTCAAGATGGTAAAAGGCGTTTTGCTTGATGACATAATGGTGTAGGTAGGGGGTGACTGCTGAATCATTGAGTTGCTATGTTAAGGAGAAGGAAGCAGAGGAAAGAAATTTTTTTCAAAAAAATTGCATTCATCGTTTCAGAAGAGCACAACATACAATTTTTATTCATTCATTGCAAATTTGTATTTTCGACATGTGAAGATTTTTCCTCCAATCTATTACTACGAATACCGCAAGTTACATACTGTACAATCATCGAATGTATCAGCAGCAGTAGCTATCATCATCATAGTTTTCATTTTAAAACATTTAATCTAATATTGCTAGACTATTCAAAAATGGGTGAAGAATGCAGACATAATTTTAATCATCTCACTATTGACACCGAACATCTCCAGGGTCTGCAAAACAGAACGAAGAAACCGACGTTCACATCTTGTTCCGATATCCTAGCTGCAAATGACTTTTTTTCTGTTTTTGATGAGATTTTGCTTCATGATTCGCTATGCGGAAACAATAATTCAGGCTCATCATCCTGTCATCCAGGAAACTGTTGTTTATGCAACCGATCACCATCAAATTTTCTTGATTCCTCGGACGCGATTTTACCAATCATTTCTTCCAACACCACTGACCTGTTGTATCAGAACTTCGAGAAAACTAATTCTGGAGCAGATCTAGATGAAAACAGTGACTGCAGCGAGAATAGTCGACATGATGGCGCAGAACATGGCGAAAAATTAAGGGTGTCATCTAACTGTCGTCGAGTTGGCAATGCATTGCGGAAGAAATCTCAAATTTACCTAAAGTATTTACCAACCCGTAAAACCCTGAGAAAATGTGAGAATTGTTGCCATTCGCTGAAAACTGCATGCAAATCTTTTTTGGACTCTACTTGTACCACTTTCGGTATCTGGCATTTGTGACTTGATTAATTGCGCTTTTTTTATTACTTGTTTTAATGGCAGTTAAGCTATTTCATTCCTTGTTGTCATGGTTTCTTCATATTTTCTGCTTTTAACCTAACTAATGCTCACCCGTGGCACTCCTGATTGGAGAAAAAGTGCCTCGAAATTTATCTCTTCAATCGGTTTATATTATATCTTTAAACAATTCTTTCCACTATCTTCTCAGTATCTCTCAGGAATGTTTCGTAGTATTGACGTCTTGCAATGTTTTTAAAGCTGATTTTTTATCAGTGCAATTATGGGTTAAATTAAATATTAATTATGAGCAGTTCAAAATAAATCAATGAAATTATCGTTAATCTAAATGTACTTCAATTATTCAAAATTAGTGATATGAGGAATTAATTGCTTATGAATTGCAATTTGAAAGAAACTGCTTTGTGAATATTTTTATTATAGTAAAAGTAAAGAATTGGTTGTTCCGTGGAATAACTTGGAAGGGACAAAACTATCGGATATAATTAGGAATTTCCAGCTTTTGGAAAAACTTCAGGCAGCTTCGTGTTATCAAAACTGACAGACTTTACGGAAATCACTCAATCAATCTTTCAAATCAATTCAAGCTTTGCTTAAGAAAATGATTTAAATTGGCATTGCGAAGTATATGAACTCTCTGATGTGTTTTTATCACTTATGGTACTGTAATATAATCTCTACAACATCTACTTGGCGGATGCTAAATAATTACTTGTAATCAAATAATTAATTCAAATTAGCTCATTAAATTTGCAGCTTTCTCTTACATCCAGAAAGCGGTCATATTTTAAAAGTTATTTTGTTCTTTAGAATAAGTAAATGAATTTTGTTCAATAAAAAGAGATTTTATTTCAGTGCAACGGATCGAAGGTAAAGGCATTGTTCGAAAAGGTGCACTGAGGCAAAAGAATGTTCATGAAGTCAAGTATGCTTTTGTTTCGATTTTTTCCGTTTTCAGGATTTTAATTAACTGAGAATAAGATCATTTATTCTAACTCTAACATGCTTTTTGATATAAGAAATGATATTTGAAAAGAATTGAGTAATTAAATTAATTCTTCAGAGCCCATAAATTTGTTGCACGATTTTTCAAACAGCCAACGTTTTGTTCACATTGCAAGGAATTTCTTTGGGGTCTTAACAAGCAGGGCTTCCAGTGTCAAGGTAAGCATCTACTCTTTCTCCTTTCGATGTCTTCGCTAAAAACTATCGACTCAGAAACTGCCAATTTTCACTCGTTCCAGCTTGAAGCTTCAAATTAACAAAATTCGCTTTCTTTGTTATATCTTTAATTGCAGTATGCGCACTTGTAGTACATAAAAGATGTCATCAGTTTGTCAATTTTCAATGTCCTGGTGCTGACAAAGGTGTTGATACCGACGTGAGTTTCATATTTTCTATATTACATGTTTTCTATTTTCTATTATATTTAGTTCATAGTTGGCAAATGCTAAAAAGAATCCATATTTGTTTGTGAAGTTTCATTGCATGCTTCTCAAGGCTTTTCGTGAACTTTTTGGAAATATAAAACTTTAAACAAATTCTTTGGATCAAAATTTGGTTGACGATCAAAAGTTGCAAACTTGGAAAAAATTACATTCTCGATCTATATTTTTAGGATCCACGACAGAAGCATAAATGGAAGGTGCATTCATATTCGTCTCCAACTTTTTGTGATCATTGTGGATCTCTGCTTTATGGAATCGTTCATCAGGTTATTATTTTTACAACTTTGTTTTGGCTTTTAATCAGCAACAAAAAAAACGGCACATAATTTTATACCATTTTTAGGGTAAAAAATGTCAATCTTGCAATGTGAATGTGCATCATAAATGTGTTAAATATGTGCCTGATATGTGCGGGACAGATTACATCGAAAGACGCGGTAGAATATATCTTTCAATTCGAGTTGAAAATGATCTTCTGCAAGTTAAAGGTGCTGATTAGCTATTCAGTATTTCAGTAGAAGCAGATCTTAACTTACTATCTTCTACAGTTCTAGGCTAAATGGGATCAGTTAATATTAACTGGCAGTGCAGAGATGATAGATGGCAGAATGATAAAATTATCTCATAGGGAATCAATAACATCCATGCAACGAATAGCTATTTGAAAAAAAAAACAAAAAATAAAGGAAAGTATACCTTACTACACGTCAGGAATATTTATGAAAGCAAGTGAGAGATGATCGCATTCTGGTTTTAATGGAATAAGTTCAAAGACAAGAGCTAACATTATCGATCACGGGTGACAACCTATAGTGGTGCATATGGCTGGAAGGTTCTCCCAGTTTTCGTTATTTGGAGTGTTTGAAGTATGGGCGAAAACTTCCATCAGTTTGCATTATCGTTCGATGTTAGCATTTGAGCAGTTTTAATACTGTCATCTGCTGGTGCTTTGTTGCTACACTTCTCCATACCGAATAAACTCATGTGAGAGCTACTGACTGCTATTTCATTATCAGACACAAACAATAGTTCTCAAAAGTCCTTGAGAGCTATTGTTCATGTCTGATAATAAAATTTAGGCGGTACCGATATAGTCTCATTATGATTGAATTAGAATGACATAAATATTCATGAAACTACACTGGATGCAACTGGAAAAATAGTGTCATCCATTCATTAATGAAATAAGATAGGATATTTTCAATTACGTGTACGAAGTGCTTGTTTCAGTGTGTGAGGCACGTAATTTAATACCTATGGATCCAAATGGCCTTTCCGATCCTTACTGCAAGTTGAAATTGATACCCGATGACAATTCTTCAAAATCCAAGAAGAAAAGTAAAACAATCAGATCTACCTTGAATCCTGTGTGGAACGAATGTTTTGAATAGTAAACATTCTTATTTATTTTACCTGTGCTTCAAATCCATTAGGTAAATCTTCTGTTTAGTTATAAGTTAGAATAAAAATCATTCTTAATTATTCGATAAGTTATGGCGCATGTTACCTAGTCCAAAGAATTCATATATTCTTAAGTATTCGACATTTTTATTTGAGCAAATTGGAAACAACAGATGCGGACAAAAGGTTATCTGTGGAAGTTTGGGATTGGGATCGTACTTCCAGGAACGATTTCATGGGTTCCCTATCATTTGGCATCAGTGAGCTGATGAAGGAATCCGTTAAGGGATGGTACAAACTACTTAGCGCAGTAAGTTTTTTAATAAATTGCTTTTCTTCTCTCTACCATTCATTAGATAAACAATTTATATGATCTTACATCCATTTAGAACTTAGAATAGTTTAATAGTGCAACAAGATTCCAGGAAGAAGGAGAATTCTACAGCATAAAAGTTACCCCTGAATCTGTGACTGAAATTGAGAAAATCAAGAATAAAATTGATGGAATAGAGATATATCAGGAAAAGGTAAAGTCGGAATACAGCTTTCAGATTCATATATATTTTTTTTCAATTATTGTTGCCTTGTAGGACTCAAACGAGTAAATACTTTTTAGATATATAAAGTTTGCGGTTTGGAATTGTAAAGGAAACTAGCGATTTTTCAAAAATATAAAGATTGACTGCAATGAAAAACTGATTGAACCAGAATTCAGTTTCGCAAAAAAAGTGAGAACAAGAGAATTTCGAAGCAACATTGCTGCACGCAATTCAAGCAGACAATAATTTGATCCTTTCCTATTTTAATTGTCAGATTGAGTTAACGTTTGCGGGCAGAATTTATTCAAAGGATTTCAATTCGCAAAAATAGCATAAGAAGGAAGAAAATGAAAAATTGCATTTGTGAAAGTGTTACTTACATTTAGATTCTGCATTGGATAACTGAATTCGAAAATCTGTTTTATAGCAATCGCCAGTGCGATCTGAACCTCAATTAAAACGACCACAACAAAATGATGTCAAAGTTACTGATTTTAATTTTCTATCTGTGCTTGGAAAAGGATCCTTCGGAAAGGTTACACTTTTTCAACTTTTGCAATTGTTAGGAAGTAAACTGCATGTCCCTATTTGTTTTAGGTATTGCTTGGTGAGCATAAGGACAGCAAAGAACTGTTTGCAGTGAAGATACTAAAAAAGGATGTTATTGTTCAGGACGACGATGTGGGATGTACAATGATCGAAAAGCGGGTTCTATCACTTTATGACAAGCCACCTTTTCTCGTTGCTCTTCATTCCTGTTTTCAAACTTCGGTGAAATTTCCGTCTTTTCCGACTCCAAATAATTGATAGCAGTTGGAAAGTTACCTTATCAAAACCATTTATTTATTTGTTTGAAATTAAAATATTCTTCCAGTCAAATTATTTTCGGTAATTTTCGGACTTATATATGAACTTCACCGTAAACAATTCATTACTTCACATTTTTCTAACATTAAATTGCATACATACTTCTAGCCGCAGTTACATCCTCTACATTTTACATCCTTTTTTACTGAATTTTCAAATGTGGTGTGGAAAGAATTTTTCTAAACACAATAAGATTATTTCAGGATCGTTTATATTTTGTAATGGAATTCGTAAGTGGTGGTGATCTCATGTATCAAATACAACAAGTGGGGAAATTCAAAGAGCCAGTAGCTGCGTGAGTAGTAGAAAACTTTATTTGAATTAAAGGCCAATCAAAAATCAACTTAAATAGCAGATGGAACTCGTAATTTTTCGACTTTATTAATTTTTGATTAAAAATTTTGAGGCATGTTTGATTGTATTGCAAACCGCACGGCTGTCTTTATAGATTTTATGCTGCTGAAATAGCAATTGGTTTATTCTTTCTTCATTCCCAAGGCATTATTTATCGTGATCTCAAGCTTGATAACGTTATGTTGGATATAAGCGGACATATTAAAATTACGGATTTTGGTATGTGTAAAGAAAACATCATTGGTAATGCAAGGACAAAAACGTTTTGTGGTACACCCGACTATATTGCTCCGGAAGTACGTATCATTCCAATATCGTTAATAAAAATTAACTCTAAGGCTATAAGTAACTCAAAAATAAGCAGTATTCTTAGATTATGATCTTTGCTTTGCTTTGTTTATTGTGATCATAGTTCATTAAATTTTGCATCCAGAATCCTTTCAGATAATATTGTATCAACCATATAATAAGTCGGTTGACTGGTGGGCATATGGAGTATTGCTGTTTGAAATGCTTGCGGGCCAACCGCCTTTCGACGGCGAAGACGAAGATGAATTATTCGCAGGTATCATCAAGTTTAACTGAATTTTTGAAAAATAGGAAACAGCAGAAAACTATATTGGATTAAGCGATAATTGATTAATTCATAGTTAAGGAAAAATTAATTATAGTTCAAGATCATTATGTTAAAGCAGTATTTGACTATGATCACTACTAGTGTGTATTTTGGAAGGAGAACGTTTTTTTTTTTTTTTTCATTATAAAATTATATTTACAGCAATAACGGACCACAGCGTATCATACCCGAAGTCAATGTCTAAAGAAGCAGTATCTATTTGTAAGGCACTGCTACAGAAAAGTCCTCAGAAGCGGCTGGGTTGTGGGCAGATGGCAGTTAGAGATATTAAGGTATGTGAATTCCTTGGATGTTTATTTCTCTGAATGATATCTTTAAGAATTAATCGAAGGAATTTAACAGAAGGAATTACTACATCATTAAAGTATTCAGTGCTGAGATGAATGATCGATACTGATCGCTCTCTCGTCTAAGATAGTAGGGGAACATATCAATTTTTTACATATTTCTGGGAAAACAAAAATTCCAGTGCTTTTCGTTGCTAAAATTTATTGAGTGAAGCATTAACCAATTAACTGTATCATTTTTGAATAACAATTATTAACTTTTCATGTTGTAAACATAGTATATTAATTTTCTATGGAAGCTGCATTTTCAGGAGCATCCGTTTTTTCGACGAATTGATTGGTATAAAATCGAAAGGCAACAGGTTCAACCACCTTTTAAACCAAAGTTGGTAAGTAATCTCTTTGTTTGAAAGACCTTAACAGTGTTTCTGGCAAAATTTGGGGATATAGCGACGCAATTTAAATCAATTCTAAAATTTCTTAGTCTTTCTCATCAAACATTCGTATTGAATTTATTGGGAAAAATTTTAAATCCATGATTAATTTTTATTTTTTTTATTTTTTTAAACATGGATTTTATTTTTTAAACACTGAGGTTTTTGTTAAAGTAGCTCATAATTTAAGAGTAAATATTTGTGGGTATTAGGAGACATAACTTGGCTGTTATACTTTGCTGCTATGCAAGTCGTTAGCTTAAACATTTTGATAAGTTAGATGCAGTTGTATCATTTTAACAGATCGTTGGCTGCCGCATAACTGATCAACAGATGAATTAATTACTCGTAAATCATTTCATGAATCATTGAATCATTTCATCACAAATCATCTTGATAATATCGTACAAAGATTGAATCTGCAGAAGAGTCCTGAATCAACGGAGAATTTCGATTCACAGTTCAGAAAACTATCAGTGAAAATGAGTGCTTGCGATATTGACATTTTGCGTAATCTTGAAGGCTATGAATTCCCTGATTTTGATTACGTTAATCCATACTGGCCAACTTGGAATGCTCATAATGAATTGGTGTAGAACGATGTATTGCGCGCTTGTTCAAGCATGATTATTTATCCTCTCCCTCGCCGTCTTGTTCTTCACTAAACTAGCATGTATTTTCTTTTTGTAAGAAATTCATTAGCATACAAATGTGTACAAATTTAAACGTTGGATGCTTAAGGCAAGTATATCATCATTCACGACAACTGAATGATGATATACTCATCATTCAGTTGTCATGTGATGTGAGCATTTCTAACGAATAAAATATTGCTCTTTTCCACGATTAATGCGAAATTTTATGAAATATGTGAAATGTTATAAAATCTATGACGATTAAGAAAAAAACTTCAGATTTATGCAAGAATTTACATATTCTGTCCCGCTTATTGTGATTTTTCATTTTGTTTTGGCACGCAGTGAAATTGAAATTTGGTAAAGGTTAATTTCTTCTCTAGGAAATGTTTTCTTCTTGAATCCTGAGTGATTTATCAATAATAGAGCTGATCGCTTTGGGGTTTTTCTTAATTTGTTGATCCGGGATGGATTTACCTAAATATAGATGGTAGTAGTATAGTAAGTATAAGACCGAAAGACGTGAACACAATTTTTATTGATAAGCATAGTAGGACAAGAAGTAAGGAGTGGTTTATAACAAACATTCTGATAAAATCCTATTGAGTGCAAGATATGTGAACATGAAAAAGAAAGGCAGCGTAAAGGAAGATCTGATAACAGTATAATCATGATTGAAATATGATTGATTATCAGACTGGAAACATTTTCATATGAATTGGTTTACAGTAATTTAACGATTAAAGATGAGCATAATAAAAAAAAGATGAGAATTTAGCTAAATAATGCATCATATATTATATATTGTAACATCCATTAAATTACAATTTATACGATGAATCATTTTAGTGAAAATTATATGTAACACAAATTATTTTTATCATTTGGACATATTTATTATAAATTATTTCAAATTTCGCGACATCTTTCACATGCGATTCTTATTACTGCGATCTTGCAATCATGCTTTAACCAATATGTTTCATATGTAGTGGCATCTACCCTCATTTGTTTAATTTCGAGTATACCGACCTAAAAATATTTTGCTGCACTTGGAAGGAATCAATATATGCACTTTCTATCATCAAAATCTTCCATTTCGAAGATTGTTCGCATTATTTATTAGAAGACTGACAGAAAGGCTGAGAGAGAAAGACGATCATGCATAGCTGAAAACTATTTTCGTATGTTCCCTTGTATGTATGATCTCTGTATATTTCCAATCTTCTTCTATCATATGAAACTAAGGTATAACGGTAGAAGTGTAAAGATCTGAGTGATGAAGTGGCAGTTTGTTATGACACTGTGTAATTTTTTTGATTTTCAAGATTAGCAAATCGGAATTTTTAAAAACCTAGTTCATAAACGGATTAAAAGTGTGATCTAACAGTTATCATCTTATTTAACGAGGATTCTACATAATTGCATTGCCAGAATACCAATTGCCAAGCAAAATTGGACTACAAAACTGTATAGCATGCACCACATATTATTTTCACAGATGCTTTAATGCTTAAAAAAATAATAAAAAACTAAAATGAAACAGCCAAAACAATGAAAATTTAATACTTTAAATGAAATTAAAGCTGGAGCTGAAAAATACAATAAGTGGAAAATATGATTCAAAAGGATGAGAAAGGATTTTCTAAAAACACAAGACCTAATTTCCTATTATTGACATTATCGATATATTACAACCACTGATGGCATTTTTTTATTTCGAATAGCAATGACAATTTTTCCAAGTTCATCGCAAGATGCTTTAGTAATAAGAGCAATTAAGCAATTATTTCTGCAGTACCAATCTTCATGATTCACTTTTATCAACTCAAAAAATTCTGCATTATTCATTTTTGACTTCTGAGCGAAATTTGGAAGTTTTATAATACTTCCATTTTATCTATGAAGTGTTTCATAACTTGCATACAGACAAAGATAACATACAGATAACTTGCATACTTGCATACAGATCAGGCTCGACTCATTTTATCATGATCATTGTAAGAAATGCAAATCGCGTAATACAAATTCCTACTATCTTCAAAAATTTTATTATAAATGGGAGATTTCTTTTTTTAGTGTTCTGTAGTATCTTAACATTTTTCTATTTTTTTCTGCAAAAAAGCTGTTGTCAGCTTTCACGGAAAGAATTACAGAGAGATAGAATTTCAGAATTAAGAAATTTTGCATTCAAAACACTAAAAAAATTTTGAAAGAGTGAGGGATTGCATCAGAGTGTAAACTAAATGCTTCCTTTGTTGTTAAATATACTTCATAGCACCGAAGTTTATTATCGTTAGTGTTTGTTCTTCGAACGAACATTTGGACCATTATTAGATGAATCAAACTGTTGTTGAAACATACAGTTCAATCTAAATAGTGTTGTATAGTATATCCGCCATGAATTTATGGAAACGTGCTCCTTCAATAAAAGACATTTTTTGTTGAGGAAATACTGACATTTAAAAGAAAAAATATTTTCTCAGTTCAGTCGAAAAAATTGAAATATAAAGGAAGGCAATTTTAAAATAAAGCATTACTTCAGTCCATACACTTGGCGAATTTATCCTCTCCATGAATGATGGATGAAATTTGGATTCGATAATTAAATAAGGAGAATTCATTGCAAAAAAAGATAAACAATTCAGAAAATTAACAAGATACTTCTGCAATTAAAATTTATTGTAATTTATCTTTGCATGGAGATCTTAAATAATGAATACGGTAATTTATCACCTATTTATACAGCAATAGATTGAAGTTGGAGAAAACGTTGGAAGAAAATGCATTAAATAAATATATTAAGTAACTACACATTTTTGTTAATAGAAGTTAAGAAACTAACTGAGTAGCAGTAATTCATGATACGAACGAAATGGCAGCTCATAATGGACTAAGATCAATTCATTCTGTTCTGGTAAATAACTTTTATCAGTGCTTGATCCAGTACTGAAATTTGAGGCTTCATTGTAAAATTTATTTGAGCTCAATCCAAAGTAATGCTGCAATTTTTCAGGTAAGTTTCAAGAATTTCTTTAAGCTTTATTTGGCAATCATCAATCATCTTTTCTCCAATATTTCTTTGAATTTAAATAAACATTTTGTATCTCAGACTGGATCAAACAGTAGTCTTCTTGAGAAACCATTCAATCAGCTCGAATTTCGTTCAATCTTCAATTTCAGAAATGTTGCCTTCTTAGATTTCCTCGTTCACATGCTTCACAGTGGAGTCATGGCATTTTTATGTGCAGTGAGGCTTTCGGCACTTAACACCATAACTTCGTAATTGCTACTGCAATATCTCCTGGATATTATGCAATTGGTGTTGGTGTTGCTGCAAGCTGCGAGATTGTGGCTTGCTAAAGATGTCTTATGATCTTTTAAATTTCACTCATCTGAGATTGTGTCACAGCAGTTTCAGTATTTTGTACTTATCTCAGTTAAAGGGTCAAGCAAAGAAAAAGCTGCTATTCGTCGATGGTAATAGCGACATCGACCACTCCACTAATAATTGAAAGTGTTCATGGCAAAGGAAGCTGTCAAATCATTTCTGCTACTTTTCACCCGCTGAAGTTCTGATAGTTTGATCATTTAAATCGTTCAATTTTGCGGACAATTGCTCTCGGTTATTAACTTTCATAAAGAATATTATTACCTAAATAGCTTTACTCTTACGCCATGGTGTGATCTCTTGCTGGAACTAACTACTAATTAACACATGATATAAGAAACATTCTATCATTCTTTATGAAGTACAAGAAATTAGTACATTTTTAATTTGGCATGAAGGTTTTTCTTACCAGGAAATTTTTTGCAGCTTCATCTCTGTGTTGCTTAATTTTGATTTAGATCATCTTGAAAAGGCTGTTCTTATTAAATAAATTATACAATCTTTCATCAATTCTAATATGACATATGAAATGGCCTGTAAGTAAGTTATTAACAAATTGGATTAGGGATTCATTTCTGGTTACCCAAGAAATAAATTTTGATTTTTTATTCCAGCAGAATTGAAGAATGAGAAATATTCACAAGTTCCGCCATTCTAATCAAAAATTTCCAACCCCAAACATTGCAAAACACTTCATAATTCAGATAAATATTGATTTTCAAGGCCTTCTAATTCTCCCAGCAAATCTTTTTTAAACTTCATAGCTAAATTAACATGAAAAATATGAATGATATGAAAAGCATATGCAACATTCATACCCTTCACTAAGAACTCTTATAATTTTGAATCAACTATATGAAAACATCGTTTTTATATCGCTGAATTTTATATTCAGTTTGTAGCTGAGAATATCTTCCAATTTGAAATACCTATTAGTAAAATAATACTGGTGCTAATTAGAATCAGATTCTAAATGAAACATATCTTTTAAGAAGACACTTTTCCTGAAGACATCATTCACTCATGGCCAATTCCTTATTTTCAGCTTAGTGTTAATACTTTATCTGAATCGTTGAGAAACCAACAAAAGATCTTTAACTAATTTGAAATAACCGTATCACCAATATTCTAACACGATTCAGAGTGTTGAATTGGATCTTTCTGCTCTTCAGAGTGATAACTTCATAAGGACACATTTAGGGTCATCTCATTATTTCTTTTATCTTGAATGGTTGCATTGATGACAAGAAAGAAAATTAAAAGAGATTCAGCAGGAAATGGAATCACCTGTAACCACATTTATTTAGTTGCTTATTTGTTGAATATGTGAAGAAATATGCCATAATTATTCAAATAAAATAACAAATTGTTCGATCATACACTGATGCTTGAGAAATGTTGCTAAATTTCTTCAATTAAAAAGTAAAAATATTTTAAACTAAAATGTATACACAAAATCAATTTGTTTAATGCTAAATTATTCCAAAACATGCTGAAAATTTTTTGGGAAGATTCTTACATCTAATAGTTTCAGTTTAGAACATTTTTACGCTCATCGTATTCCAGCAGCAAACGCTGCTTGACTTTGTGAAGTTGAGGAACTGTGATTCGTAGATACTAAGCAAATTCAAATTCAAAAAAAACTTTACTGATTTGTTCAGAAAGAAAATATTTCCGGAAAGTGCGACAAAAAAAATGTTAATTTCTTCATTGCTTGAACTTTTTCTGAATAAAAAATAAATACAATTTTCTGACCGTAAATAAATCCCGTATTTAAGCATCTAAGAAATTTCAATTTGCAATCCGATTTTTCTTGCTTTTTTAATGAATATTTTTCCATAGATACTGACAATCACTGAAAGCTGTGTCTCATTTATGTTGTCTGAACACTTTGTCGCATACGCGGAACGTTAACTCGGAATAGCCGGATGAACTGAGTGGATCTTCACGAAAGTATTGATAAACATACTTACGTCCAATTAGCTATTCTTATTGCAATTTAACACCAAAGATGATAAAACAATATTTATTATATTAAGTTGAAATAAATTTAGAAAATGTTAGAAAATGTTTTGCTCCATTGCCGCCAGCTAATAGTAGTGTACAAATAAATGGCTTAAAATAAAACTTTTTATGCCACCACTCCAAGATTCATTTTTCACTTATAGCATTTTTTTATAAGTTTTTATTGTGTAACATCCAAAATGTGATACTTTTATATATGTTACCATACGACAAATGAACTGAACTTCTTGCATTTTTCTGACAAATGAACTTCTTACTTCTTCCATTCAACAAATCGCGTCTTAGTTCATAGTTCGCCAGAAGCAGTCACTTATCAACCTATCTTCTGGTCGTTTAGTAGTCAAGATTTGATCACATGATAAACTGGTTACAAACAATGAGATAATAAAGCCATTGTTATGTAATTCTCAGTTTACTGCTGCTCGTTGCACCTTATCTTACAGTGTAACCTCGTCAGAAAGCGTAAACAGTCCAACTCGTGCAATTAACTTTTCCTTTCTCATTTACTTTTTTAAAATTACTTTGCCTCTTCGAGCTTGTTTACCTATTGGCTTATCAATTTTTTGTTGCGCCTTTTATTTTAAAGAATCATTAATGAACGATGATAAAATGTTGTTATCCCATTTGCAATATGCTACTGCTCGTTGCATTTTCCTTATTTATGTCATCAGAAATTCACTTCTTTCCTCTTCAGTTTTTTTGAAATTTAATTCATTTTTTAATGTATTTCATCCTTTTTCACCCATTTACATAAAAAATGTGATTGCAATTTGCAATCATCACGGAATTCTCTTCAAATTCTTATTACCTTTAGTGTGAAATATTACTTATTATCAGTTCTGGAAACCTTTTCAAGGATCATAACTGTCGAATAAAAACGTCAATTTTATAAAGAAAGTTGTAAGCAAAAATGTTGCATTTTGCTAAGATTAACGATAATATATGTATCAGAAAATATCATTGTTTTCTACCAAGTATTTTAATGCTTTTAGACAATTTTAAACGTCTCTTTTTGTCTATGACCAGGAAAACCATCATTATTCAAGTCTCAAACTATTCTTATCTGATCGCACCTTCTTGGCCTAATTAAATCTTGTTTTTGTAAACATATCAATTCTTTCTTTTTGCAGTTGATTTGTGTTCTTATCCCTGGTCACTCTTATTTCTTTATTACCTAAAATTCGGGGAATTGACTAGAAAAACCTATGAAGTCTTAGTGCAGTACGACTTCTGCAAGCAGATCATGCTTACCTTCTCTAAGCATGAGGAACCTACCATTAAGTAAACGGACATAGTTTTCCATTCAGCTTGTATATCTTATCTAAGCAGGTAGAAAATTTGGAATTTTTTTAGTGTATAATCCACTAATTAGGTATTCCTTAAAATGACTGGTTTTGGATGCTAAACTTTTCGAAAAAAGGTACTGAACCCTGTTGGATTCGTGAGAAAGGCCTGAACAACAAGAAACAAGAGGCGACAGAAGAAGGAAAGAATGAAAAGGACTACTATGATTTACTTGATATCAAATGAATCTATCTATTATTCTTATCCTGGTTGAAAAAAAAATGTATGCCCAGATGTAGAAGTCCTGCGATCGTAGTAATATATTGACGCAAATTTTTTGAAGTACTCAGAGGAGGAGGACGGGTGAGCGCGCACTTCCTGTATATACTTCCTGTATATGCTAAGAAGGCGAAAAATATGCATCGTTATAGACTTTTGTTTGGCTGATATTCGTCATTGCTGGTTTCACGCAGATTATCCTGGAATTAGTACAAAAGTATGAAGGAATCGGTGGAAGAATTAAGTTGACGAGGCTAGATATAATAATTAGTTTTTCTCTTTCTTAGTCTAAATATAGATTCATGCTTCAAATTATTGGAGATGAAAATAAATTCACTAAATTATTCGAACTAAAAACCTGTTGTCTATCATATCATAATGACTATCAAGCCAATTTCAATTCCCATCCACAATGACTTCCATGTGAGTTTCGCTACTTCTGTAGCGAACATCCGTCTCTATCTTTCGCCAGGAAACACATGCAAAAATAATATAAACCAACTTTAGCAACCAATTAATTTCCCTGCAACACTAAATGTTTGTAAAAGAATTCGAAATATATCGCTTTTAAAATTTTCGCAGAATTCTACTTTTAAACATCTTTAGTTTTATATAATAAATATATCAGCGGTATTAATGGAATATACATTAATTTACCGGATTTTTTACCCTTCTCTCCTAACAAATTATTTTAGTTAACATCAAATCAAGAATATTTTAGGGCATCAAACCAATTCTTTTTTTCAATATTTGATTTCTCTTGTCTAATCTGACAGCTAAATGCACCACTTGATGCATTGATAATTTACCAACATACCAATTTGATCATATTACTCTACTTAACACATTCTGCTTAATTTTTACACTTGGTAATTTTAACTGCAGTGGACAAATTAAATATGCATTCATCGAATTAGTTCCGTAATGAAAGTTCAGATATTTGCTTCTTTTTAGGTCGAATCACATAGCTTGATGAAGATATACGTATGAAAACAGATAAGTACGCAATCTTTAGATACAAACTATGTAACCTAATTATTTTAAAGCAATTAGGAACTTTGTGGGAATTCAAATGAAAAGAGCAATCTATTAAGAGAAGGCAATTCACGTCTAATAAAAAGTGATTTTGGATTTATTCCTGTTTTTTTTTCGTAAAAGAAAGCCTGCTTTTAAGACGAGCTCTTCAAGTACAGTAGGATTGATATGCAATGGAATTTATCAACAGCCGTGAAGACCTCAAAAGTGCTGATAAAAAATGCATGCATCTAGTTCATTATAGAATTGCTGTTATCCACTTAATGTTCATTTGCCATTCTGTCTAAGTTTTTCAACAATTGTTGTTCGTCTTTAGTATTGTAGGGTGCAATGGAGCAAAAAAGATAGTGGCAGCTCTACAAGTTCAAAATTTTTATTAAAACATGAAATTAATTGATCTGGAGTTTTTTTTTAGAAAATCTGTCAGCAAAAATCAACAGACCTTCAGATGATTTTATAAAATTCCAAGAATAATAAGCACCTTATAAACTCATCAGCACTTCCAAAGAATTTCTGCTCGGAAATATTGGTTCATGCGCCAATTCAAAAGTTGATGAACCGTAATCGCTAAAAAACATATTTTAAATTTTGCCTTTTCGTTATCAGTTCAGAAGCATCTTAGGTTAAAGAATAATACTCGCACAATCTCAAAAATTTGTTTTACATCCTTCAACACGTAATCTTTTCAACAACAGTTTTGTTCTTAAGCTACCGATTGATTCGTTCCACAATATCACGTTACGAAATGTTTCCATACATTTGAATTGTGAAACAAGGTGATGCATCGTTGATTTGCAAGGAAAGCTGAACGGAATGTAATTGCTCGGAGGAAAGGGAATGGTGAGAGAAAGTGTTTGAATAGTTGATCCAATGGACGACAAATGACCAGTTAAACCTAAATGCGCCCGAAGGTTTTGCCATTCGCTGTTGTCATGTCATTCTTGTAATCTTTCAATTGCTCTTATACGTTGGTTGCGTTTCAGTAACATCAGTGGAATTTCATTACAGAATTCTTTAAATATGTATCAGTCTTTTTCGGTTGTTTACCAGAACTGATAATCATATTAGGATCAAGGCACAAATTCTTTCATTTTTCATTTGCTTGCAGTCTGCATGCACTCTGCACAACCTTCTCGCTCCCTGCATCTGCAGTGCTTTCTTCGCAAGAAGTGAAGCTTGAATTTTTTAGGCTTTTTCAAAAAAAGTTGAAACGACCCGTCTGTGTTCAAGTAATTGCCATTCTGGAAACGTTTCCCTCTTATCTGTTATTTGTGCTTTCAATGCAAAAATGACCCGTCTGTGTTTAAGTAATCGCCATTTGGAAACGTTTCCCTCTTATCTGTTATTTGTTGCTTCTATGCAACTTAGGCTTTGAAGGGATGGTGCTAGATGAATGAAGCTGGAAAATATTCAAGGATAGATTCCGGAGTTATCTGTAATATTAATTGAAATGGATACGGTTGCTATTCAAGCAGTACCACAATTGATCGATATGGCTTCATGTTGCTCATTTCCTATTATACTTCAAGAGGCATCCTCACATCATCCCGCTTCTGGTACGGAAAATATAGAGATGAATGGTGTCGATGTTATAGTGCAGTGAATTGTGAAGTTATCTTTCTTATTTTTTTACTTCAAACATGTTTGCAAGGAGCTCGATTGAAATCCAAAAGGCTGAAGCGAATTACTGGACAGTGAAGTGTGCACAGTGCACATTGAAATCTGGGTCATCACTGCCAATACGACTGTAGAGGAACCTTCCGAAGTGGAAAATCGGGATCGAAACAAGAACTAATACGATCAAATGATAATGGGAAGAGGTTGTCACCATCAACTGATCGTAGGCTGACTTCCGAATCAAGTCGATCACCCAAAGAAGAGTAGATGGAGTGAACTGGAATAAGGTGGGTTATACCCGCATCACATCACCCTATGGCATGATTTATTGACACATACATACATCCATCGTCATATCGCCTAACTACGCACTTCTCGTTCATGTTCTTTCTTCGCATGTGAATTTTCAAGAATTTTTCTGCGCGCTATTCTTTAAACACTTTACTATTCTTCTTGTTTCCGTTGTTCTTATCCCTGCGGTTATTGTCATCGTTGCCATTATCGCTGTTCTCAGTTTTATTGTAGTGGTTCTTTTTATTTTCTTTAATAACAAAAAAAATGCTATCGTTGAATAAACTCGTTATCTGTCGCATTTTCAGCAATGTCAATCAGCCTTCTTCGTAAATGTTTAGATTTCCACTTGAAACACATTTATTTGAACTATATCTGAAATATGCGTTCAAATTATGTCTGTGACATCGTTTGACACTACTAGCGACCGTAGTTTCGAAATTCTTGCCAAACTTGTTATTATCACTGCAATACCAGACTGTTCTGCAGGAGTAATCTGTTTACGGTAGGAAGGAGCACTGATACCATCTGGAATTTTATCTGTTGAACTGAGGAACATAAATCCTTAGCATATCCTTTTCTTACTGGCTATCCGTACTTTACATTTTTTTCTTCCTTTTTCCCCTTAATCCTAATATTTGATAGCATCATTTTCTCCTCTTCTTTTTAGCACAATGGCTACTCTGCAAAACTCGCTCTATAGTCAACAAGAAAAAAAGCGGACATCATCCATGATAGGTAGAAAGAAATCTTTAACAATCTTCTATCATTCGCACTTTTCGGGGATTCATTGTGAAGACCAGAAAGTTATATATCTTTTGGTTTCACTTAACGGCCCTCAAACTTTTTCGAGTATTCAAGTAATTGAGAAGATTTAGAATGCTTTGAATCAATTAGATTTCGATGAGTGGAAGTTCTTATTTAGAACTTTGAGAAGCTTCAAGTTTTAAATTTCTGTTATTAAAGTAAATAATTGAATAACTCTTTTAAACTATTCTGTTTCATTTTCTTTAGCTCAACAGTTTATTTAAATATTGATTGATTTGCCTTGATACTGACCGTCTCTCTTCCTCTTACCCTTACTCACCTGCAACAAAATATAATAATTATTCATTTTCACTTTGAAAATAACTAAAAATTTATAATTTTTTTTCGTATACCTTGATTTAATAGAAATTATTTTGCGCTAGCTTTCCGTGTGTCTTTTCAGCATTTTTTTTGATCATCGAAACAAAACAATCAACATTAAAATAAATTAAAATAAAAAGAATGAAACAGAAACAGGTTCTTCTGCAGTTTTGATCCAATAGTTGTCCATTTATTAGACGCGATTGAAACATTGTAATAGCGAATAAACGATGTGATGATGAAATGTCCAACAGTGTGATGTCTAACACTAGTTATACAAAATATCATCCATCACACATTAAGAATTACCTTCTCGCTAATGATCTTCCTTTCATTGATTTTGTATTAGTCCATGGCATTAGAATTTGAGAATAATAGAATGGACAACTGATAATAACGTTAGTTTCAGTATGATAAGAAGGAAGTCACTGATACAGCAGCTGATAACATCAGTACTTCTGTTTCGTGTCTATGCTCAACATGGAGGTAACTCAACTGGGCAAAGTGAGTTCAGAAAAGAAATTGATATATTAACATTAGAAAGTAATCTGACATCATCCGGAAATTCTGCAATGTGGCCTACGTTGACGCAAAGTACGGTGAACGACCCACCAATGATAGCAGCAGTGGAAGCAAAAAATATTCTTCAAACTTATTCCATTGCTAAGCAACCCGTTTCTTTAGGTATAGTACAATCCCAAAGTCATTCTACAAAGTTTTTGCTCCAATCAAATTCAAAATCTGAATCAGAAATCATGGCACTGCAAAGTTTTTATCCCACTACTGAACCAGAGTCTCATCATCAACTTATGCCAACCACCACTGCCAAAATTGTTAGACAGTTTGCTGATAGTTTTTCCCAGTCACCTGTGCAATCAGCCGAAATCGCACAACTTAGAATTCATGCTGAAGATTCTCAACAGCTCCCAGAACCGAGTTCAGTAAAAGTAAGCAGTGCTAGCCCTACGTCATTATATCGAAACAATGCCTTCGAGGATGATGTTGAACGGATTGACGAAGAAGATGATAATAGTAACGCGGATTCCGTGAGTCTTGCTTCATCACCTAATCCATATATAAAAAGTGCTATACTAGGCTTACCTTCACTTTCTTGCGAAGAAGAATGTGGTTTAAATTTAATTTTTACGTTTAAAAATTGTTCAGAAAAAAAACTGTAAGTCTAAATTTACAGTCGAAACCAGGTGCTATTGATAACGATGCTATCGAAGAACTTGTTAATCGCTTCCTGAATAGTGACGTTGCCGAAGATGGGAAAGAAGAGAAACTCAACAAAGAAGCTTTGAAACTGATAAATTCAAGCAAATACTGGGATGTCAATAATTTGGAGGTTTCTTCATATTTTTCGTATTTTTTTTCGACGGGAGGTATTGAAGAAACTCAATTGTTGGATTTTCTGCTGTCGATGAATTTAGAATTTTTGTGATTTTATTGTTTGATACCACTCAAAGCCATATATTATCAATAAACAATGCAAATCTCATTTGACAATTTTTAGCCTGAAGGCTCGATCGGAGATAATAAGAAAGCCCAAGAATGGATAAATGGATACGCAGTTGAAGCACAGAAAGTATTGCGTGAAGTAGCTTTAGCCGGATGGAATTATGTCACATCAGTATCGCATCTTACTAAGCAACTTCTTGATGAAGCTGAGGAGGTTTGTTTGCGATTCAAGTTACTTCAAATTTTGATATTTGAAAATTGAGTTTATTGGAGTGACAATTGATATTTGATATGTGAAAATTTATTGTGACAATTGAAAATTCAAGTGACAATTTTGATATTTGAAAATTTATGGGAATTGCCAGCAAGTTGAATTTATTGCAGTCAAATAATTTGGAGTGACAATGTTCAGAAACTCCAAGATAAGGCTGTGAGAAACGAGTCAATGTTGTTATTCCGTTGACTAATTTCACTCTTTTGAATTTCAGACGCTTGGAAAATTTGTGAAAAGTAGCTCGAAGCAAGCAAAGCAATTTGATATAGCAGCAATTCAGGACAAATTGCTGAAACGACAATTCGAGCTCCTTTTGGTAGAAGGTATCAGTGCCTTGGATGAAAACGATTTCAATGAATATAATGAACTTCAAAAGCTGGTCAGACTATTTATATCAACTATTTCGTTCCACTCGTACCATTGGATTGATCTCCTTATGCATTTGTTTTAGATAGCGAAAGCATATGCTGAAACTTCGGTTTGTGAAACGGGCAACGCAACAATATGTCCTTATAGGTTTACTCGTTTAATACATTTTTTTCGATGGTCAGTAAATTTTAAAAAAATTTAAAATCTTAAACTTGAAGTTTTTCGACAGTTGTAATCAAGAAGAACTTTTATGGAAAAATCCCTGCTGTTTTTTGTTTTAAATTATTGTATCTTTCAACTTAAAGTCATTTCAGTGCAAGAAGGAAATTAGAGGATGTGAGGATTTTGCAAGCTAAGTAATTAACATAATACAATACTTCACATTATGCTATTGCTCAATTAACTCAGAAGTTCTGCTCTTTAAAGACATGAAATACCCCGTATTTATTATTCTATGACGCATTTTTATGGCACTATTTTAAGTTGAATTAAGTGCAAAACTTTTCAAGTTTATGGGAAAAATTTTATCATAACTTTAAAAATATATTTCTATTTCAAGAGTTTCTGATATCGTATCAATTATCGCACATGAAAATGATGGCCCTAAAGCATTTCGTCTTTGGATCGCGCTGCGTGATGCACTTGGACCGAAACTGGTTGCCTCTTACAAACGATTGATTGAGTTAATTAATAAAGGTATTGCTTAGTTTTAGAAACTAATAAAATATTCTAAATTTCTAGCTTTTAAAATTTTGAATTTTTGAGAAACTTGAAAAATTCCTTTTACTGAATTCTCAGTTGTTTATAGGAGCTAAATTGAATGGTTTTTCGGATGGTGGAGCGATGTGGCGTAGCCCTTACGAACAGTTTACGTCACGTAATGAAAAAACGGAACAAAGTGACACTGTCGCTCTTTTGCAGAAGTTATACCAACAAATTAATCCATTTTATAAACAGGTTGACAGTTTTGTTTCCATGAAAAACAGATAAATTGCTGCATGCTTTCATAAGTGACATCTCTTTCAGCAGCTGTAATGGCTTATGTGTGGCAATTTGGAAGTAACTATAAAATATATTGAAATTTCAGTTACACGCATATATAAGACGTCAAATACCCGCTCTGTACGGGTTAACAAACGTGCCTAATCTAACGCGAGATGGCCCTATCCCTGCTCATTTACTCAGTATGCTTGCCTTATAATTTTTGTAGTCTTAAATGGCCGCAGAAGTTGTTATATTTGCTAAATATTTTTTTAAAATATTTTTGGTAACCAGTTAAAAAATTTTGCAAAATTATTCAACTTTAAGCAATTTGAGTACTTGCAGAAAGTATTGCTTGTGAAAATTGGATTGCCTTCTATCGGGATACGAAACCATTCGAGGAGGAAGACGATCTTGCAAGCGAAGTCCAAGAAAACTTCCAAAAGCTAAACTATACTGTAAAAAGCATGTTCAAACAGGTACTGAAATATCGGAAATGAATTTTGCAAGTAAGGATTTAGGAAGAGAAAAGGATGAGAAGTAAATCCGAGAACTACTTGATATATGATAGTTATAGAAGTTCAAACTGCAATTTACAGGCATACAAAACTCTTAAGCAACTTGGGTTTGATAAATTGCCATCAAGTTTTTGGACGGAATCAATTTTCACGAGAACATGGAGCAAAGATATGCTTTGTCACCCACCTGCAGCCTACGATATGAGAAATGGGCGTGATTACAGGTCTAATTTTTATTTTTTTGA